CCATCAAGCAGTAGCTGCAGGTTCAGAAGGATCCCAGAGATATAGATCTGCTCTTTCAGAAGTGGCGCTGCACTGTCAAATGGCAATTCTGAAGATATCGCTCAGTGAAAAAAATGCGAACCCTACCCAGATCCTTCACAGCCTTCAGACACTAGGCCAAGATTTCAACAAAATGTCTTTTGCTGTTTGCGCAACAAACTTCCCAGCAGCTTCATGTAAATATAAAAAAGTAGAGGAGAGAAACTGAGCCTTGCAGCATTCCACAGAGAGCAACTCCTTGGCCGTTCTCTCATCCCCCATCTCTTGAGTGGAACTGTCCATTGAAGAAAAAGAGCAGAAGTATAGGTAGTCCTTGCTTAACAATGGTAATTGGAACTGTAAACTCATTTGCTAAGCAACGTGGTTATAAGGTATGATATCACATAATTGCACCAATTTATGATAGCAGTTGCAGCAATCCCAGTTTCTGTTATCAGGCATATTCTGAGCAATCACAGCATCTCCCAGTCAAGTGATTACCATTTATAATCTCCTGCTGGTTTCCCCCTTGACTTTGCTCATCAGAAACCAGCAGTGAAGGTCACAAATGGGAATTGTGTGGCTGGGGAAGACTGTGATTTATAATTGCAAGCCAGTTGCTAAGCACCCCATATGATTATGGGATGCTGTGAGAGCTGCAATATGAGAACCCATCATAAGTCCTCCTTGTTCAACATCACCATAACTTTAAATGGTCACTGAATGAGTGTTCCAATTCTGAATCCCTTCCTGCCAATGCCAAGAAGGATACCAGGCTAATGCTATTGAGGGCTGTTGAGAAATCCAAAAATACTGTGATGGGCAGGTTTCTCAAATCCCATTAAAGGTTATCCAGAGGGCAACTGAAGATGGTCCATCCCATATCCAAGCTTGAATCTTAAGTGAAAATGATCCAAATAATCTGGTTCATCTAAGGCACTGATGGCGAACCTTTTAGAGACCGAGTGCCCAAAAACCGCCCCGCCCCCTGGCCCACCCCTCCACAGGGCCACTCACCACAGATTGCCCAGGCAGCCTTGTAGCACCATGGTGGCCACACCCTCTGCCTGCACCCTGCAGCATCATCTGCACATGATGGGGCGTGAGGGCGGAGTCTTGCCCCTGCTGCCCAGCTGCCATGTGCTTGGCTGTGCTGCTCTGCGTGGGCCACACCTGGGGGAGCCTCTCCTCCAGGCAGGCTGTGGTGAGGAGGGGGTTGCAGGGCGAGGCGGGGCTGGGGCAACAGCATTTGTGCCCACAGAGAGGGCTCCGAGTGCCACCTCTGGCACGTGTACCATAGGTTCGCCACCACTGATCTAAGGTGTTCTGCAGCTGTACCCTGACTACAATCTCCTAATCACACCCAAGAATTTGAGATTAGATACAGAGCCATAGTTGTCCCATACAAAGAGCTCCAAAATGGATCTTTTCAGGCAGGGTATACCACAAAACCAATAGCATCTATTTTTTCCTAACAGACGTGTTAACTACCTCTCATTCCAATTCATCATACCTCTCAAGATTCCTTGAAGAGTCAAGAAGCATGGATCAAGACCACAGATATCCAGAGATAGCTAGGAAAGCGTTATACCTTTTTACCTCAGAGTCTAGGCAAGATGTTACCTGTATCACTATAATAGACCCTCCCCATAAAAAAGTCAATCCTTTGCAATTTGGAGTGACCATTAGCAGAATGCTATGCTAACTGCTCACAATGGGAGATCTACCTGCTGCTTCCACTCTTAACTAAGCTGCTAGCTGACAAGCCTGCCAGTACTATAAGGGAGAAATAACAATGCTTCATCTCAATTACTGCTTCAGCATAGAATCAGACTTCAATATCTATGGTATTTTTCTCCTCTGGCACATTAAGAAGTCTCTTTTGGTGCTTCCTCTTCTGAAGGTTTTCAATAAACATCAAGAGGGAGGCCTCTTAGGACAGTCCCATTAAATACCTGGATTGCTTTTTTCAGTGGGTAACAATTTGCTCAACAGAACTGCCCACAAGATCACATGTTGCAAAGAATATATTCTTATACTAGCTGTACCCAGCCCACGCGTTGCTGTGGCTCAGTCTGGTTAAATGGAAAAGAAAGAAAAGAGAAAGCGCACGTTTCTAATATGTTTAATTCACAATGCTTGTGGGTATACAATATTTTTTTGTTGTTCCATTGTCTGTGCATCAATTCCAACGCAATGCCACACTAAATAATTAAATCAAAATGAAAATAAATCGAAATCTATGAAAATTCAATTTAACAATGATGCAATCGGAAACATTGAAATGGAATCGTAAAACTGGAAATTTGGAAATCATAAATGGATCGTAAATCGGAAACATTGAAATGGAATGGTAAAATCGTAGCATGTGTTGCTTTTATGTCCAACAGATGGCGCTGTTTTTCAAAAAGCACATTTTTACCTGTCACAGGTGTGACATCTATATAATATAGGTATATAAAAACACGTGCGTATTCGAATGCAACATTGTGTCAAAATTTCAAAGCAATCGGTGAAGAACTTTCGGAGATTTAAGATTTTGAACAAACGAACATTTACATTTTTATTTATATAGATAGTGGATAAACCTTGAAATTCTTTGTCTTAGTCAACCCTGCTGCATTTTAGATGGCATTCAGGCTTAATCTTTGTAGCCTTCTTCTTCTGGAAAATAATTTCCTCCCTTGCTCACAATCATCTTGAAACTAAGATGGGGAGAGAGTGATATTAGGGGCTAAACTGATGTAATTATGAACACAGATGGATAAGTTCATTTTTTTTCTTTTGTACAATTGTGTCTAATTCTAAGAGAATGGACAAGTCCCTGCACTTTTCTTTGCAAGGTTTTTCAGAAGTGGTTTACAATTTCCTGTTTTTTAGGGCTGAGAAAAAATGGCTGACCCCAGGTCACCTAGCTGGCTTCATGTCCAAGATGGCACTAGAACTCCCAGTTTCCCAATTTTTAGCCTAATGCCTTAATCATACACCAAACTGGCTCTCTAGGTTCATGTAGCTCAATCTAGTACGAGAAATTCATGTATTTACTTTGCTTTATAATGTCTTTCCCCAAGGAATTCAAGGCAGCTTATACCCTATGTCTTCATTTTATCTTTATATCAACTCAGTGAGATAAATTGGGTTGGAAGAGAGCTACTAACTCAAGATACAAAGAGAATTTCCTTGGCCGATAGCAGATTTCAGTCTGATTAGTCTAACATCTTAACCTGCTATAACATACTAATTGTTTGAAATACTAAATTCTCTACAATGGAAGCTATAAATTCTGCCCCTTCTCTAACAGTGCTAAGAATATTCAGTTTCTTTGGTGGTATATTAGAAAAAAGTGCACAGGGTCTATAATTTGAAATAATTAAAAACCAGATTTTCACTGGATTATGGGCATGTAGCCTATGTACAGGTAGTCCTTGATTTTTTTACCTCAGTTGGGACTAGGATTGCCATTTCTAAGCAAGGCAGTTGTTAAATGAGTCATACCCGGTTTTAGGGCCTTTTTCTCACATTTAAGTGCTGTTGTAACTTCAAATGACTGCTAAATGAATGGTTATAAATAAGGAGTATCGGTACATATTTTGCAGAGAAATATAGTTTATATTTTAATAAAAAATCATTTTTTCTAAGAATATTCTACCTACATAAAATTTTTATCTCAGTCATACATGCATATAAATTATACATGCAAGATCATTTTTTTTCAGCTGTTTCTAATTGCCTGAAATCTTTGGAAAAACTATTAACAGAAATTTCTAACATTTATTTTAAAGATTATTTTCTCTAAAAACAATTTCTCAGTTCTTTGACTAGAAAAAAAATATTCTCAGAATATTTTATAATATGCTGCATACTATACTGTACTCAAATTACTGAAACATTTAAAGTTTCATAGGATTTTTGGTAGTTAATTTAATTTCAGACAATTGGATAATAGACAGTTTTGATAAATTTTCCTTGACTATTCATTAGAGTTTGGGTCAGTAATCAATAAATCATCTATTCTTTTCTTTAAAAAATATATATTCCTGGCAATTTATAACAATCTTTAATTAGGCTTTTCCCCAAATACTGTAATTTGAATCTTCTTTTCAAATTATTAAAGTATACCATCCAAGTTTAATAATGCAAATTAAATACATATACACAAAATATTGGGTATACTTGCAAATATTAGCTGAATTGAGACTCTATTTTTTTGTAGTAGCAGGAATTTCCAATATTTCATGAATTTTTCCTCCTCCCTTTCATAGACACCTATGGTTCAGCTGCCAAAAGGATTCTTTTAACTTTACACCTTTCTTTCTATCACATTTTCTTACTCCAGCAAGGTATTATCTTAAGGCAGAAGATTTCACCTAGGCCAGTTAACTTTGGATAGGTTATGTCGTTAAGTCCTAACCTATACTAAAAAGTTGTCACAAGATTAAATGGAACAATCACCCTGAGCTTCTTGGGCAAGTGTAATGCTATCATGACAACCTCTCACTTCTTTTTAGGGCAGCCATAGATCTCAGTGCAAGAACTAAGACCTTGGGTTGAGTTGGGTTAGCTTCTTTTAAGTGCCTTCTGATAATTTAACTTCCCTTTTTTTGATCTCCTGCATATAGTCCATTCTAGCTTGAGGTAAGAATAGTGTAGCAGGACTCTTACTTGTGTGAAGGATAGCATGGGAATCTTGGCCCTAGAGGGGGTTAACCATACATATGTGCATTAAAACATCTTCCCAACCTCTTTATCACTTCTGTTCTTCTCAGATAAGTCCCCTTGTACTGCTCACACCTCCTGATTTCTTAAAGAGTGTAGGATAATGGAAATGCTGCACCATGAAGAAAAAGGGTGAGCTGAGCTCTGGTGATTTGGGAACGTTTTGAGGCAGGGGATAAGGTTTGAGCAGATGAGCAAGAAAGATAAATTGAATGCACAAAACTCCATATTTCTGATAGATTCTCTCCTTTTTCTCTTCTCTGAAGGTGGCCGGATGGGAAACGTAAAAGAAAAAGCAGCCAATGTTCGGTGAAAAGCAATATGTCAGGTAAGCATCTCTTCCAAGTGTGCCAGTGCTCAGAATTTTTGAGATCAATATGCTTATCTCTTCTGTGATACTAGAAGACAGTACATTTCCTTGTAGTCCTGCCAGCAGGATATTGAGGAAGTGACTCACTTTTTAGGATTCTTTCCTTTGCTGTAAGAACAGAACTTTTACTTGGTAGAAAACGATCCATCCAAAGATGATAGCACTTTGTAATAACTACAGCAGGATTGTTCTGTTTTTCCACTGTCCTAAGCAGGCAGAAAAATCATATAATGCCAAATCCAGCTGATAGCCACAGATCTGTTTGGCTTTGTCAGTTACGAATTTGGAAGGTCTGGCATTACCATTTGTAAGCCTTTTTATGGAGATTTGCAAATCTCCATAAAGATTTAAGGGGACAGGATCTCTGTTAACTTCCTATCTTGTACTCAACCATGTATTTCTTTGGAAATTCCTCTTAGATCACATTATTAATTAGACTTTAGTAGTGGAACAATTATTCCAACTGAGTTTTCTTAAAAATGTATTTATTGTTTGTTTATGTATTTATTTATATCATGCCTTTATTATTTTTATAAATAACTAAGGCAGTGAACATATCTAATACTCCTTACTTCACTTTATTTTCCCCACAACAACCTTGTGAGGTAAATTGGGCTGAGAGTGACTGGCCCATAGCCACCCAACCAGTTTTCATGCCTAAGGCGGGATTAGATATCAGAGTTCCTGGACTCTAACTTGATCCCTTAATCATTTGACCAAACTGGCTCTCAAAGTTATTATTATACTTATATAACACAGAGTTGATATTCCAGAGGTTTGGAAAGATAGGAGAAATTAAAGGAGATGGGAGAAACCTGCTTTGACAAATTTAAATAAAACAATATCCCCAGAATGTATCCAACTTTGACTTGAACCTATTGAGGGGGGGGTTGTGTTTGTTTTTTTTAATGCTTTTCACTAGTCCAGAAAAGGCAGTCATGGGGCAGCTCAGGATATCGAATGTCAAATAGCAGAGCCTGCAATAGGAAGATAAACCACTAAAGAGCTGGGGGCGGGATTCTAAAGGTGAGGCCACAGTGGGTCATGGGGCAAGAGGGAATCACGTGTGGACTGGTAAATGCAAAAGAATGCCAGACCACATCTTTCCCCCTTGTGTGATTTTTTTTCTATCCCCGTTTAGCCAATCTCTTCCTGGCCATGGTCAACATTTTTTCATTTTCCCTCTTATTAAAATATACTGTTCAAAACTCTTAATTTTAATTCTTGAGAGGTTTTTTAAAGTGAATGCAGCAGCATGGCAATAATTTTACATTAATCCACCCATCAGCAGTGTTTATTTGATTTGTTTTTAAATAGAGGCTAAACAAAGAATATAAACCAGAATTTCCAATCTTGGTAACTTTTCAACTCCCAGAATTCTCTAGCCAGCTGTGGAACATATTTATTTCCATTTTTACAGATCTGAAGAGGTGTGTCCATGTGAAATACAAATTAGAAATAACATTTTTCATTCTTTTCTCATAAAAATAAAAAAGTAGATGGGATTATTTCGCATTCATATACATTCGCTCTTTGGATAAACCACATTGAAGAAAACTCTTTTCATAAGGTTTTAGCAGCTTTGTTGCCTGTTACCTAAATGGAAAGACGTTACTGTGCATACAGTTAAAGAATGATCTGTGTAAAACGAAGCATACCACAAGGCTAGGAAAAGAGACAGAGAGCCCTATATCTGCACTAAAAAGGTTCTTGGTTTTCTTTCATTTCCTCCAAGAATCTGGCAAGTTGTAGTTAGTTTCCTCTTTAGAAAATTCTTCCCAGATTTTTCTACAGAGAATGAGTATTGGGTTTAAGTTCATAATGTATCTGCCAGGGGACAGCAGAAAGGAAGCAGATCTGGCTTCTTTCATCTATGAGGAGACTTAGGGTCAAAAGGAGGCTATAGCAAGACTAAGACCAACCGGACTTCATTCCTCAGCCAGAAGAGAACTGCTGTCTTGCTCTATTTTAGTTTTTTCCTCATTCTTTTTGTTTTATGTTCATCAGCTTTCAAAACTGCAGGCAGAGATTATCCTGACTTTTAATATATCTACAGCACATAGAAACTTTATTATTATGGAAAGTTTGTGATTAGAAAATAAATCATAACATATAACACCATTATTTTTATGAGTATTTTATGGTACTCTCTTTTAACTTGATCCAGATACATTGGCCTCCAATTCTCATAATCCCTCAACAGCATGGCTGGAAGCTTTGCTTGGGGGAAAATGTGTGGAACATATAGTTAACTCCCATTAGTTTGAGGCTGTCTTAGGGACCGTGCATGTCCTTTTTATTTACAGATAATTCTCGTTTAGCAGCTGCCTCATTTAGCAATCATTTGCGGTAACAATGATGATTAAACCATAATTTTGCTACCACTCTTCGCATTTATGACCTCCACATGTCTGTAAAGCAAAGAAAATCTGAATTGAGATCATAACACAGTTGCAATGTGACTGCTTCGTTTAACAACCGAGTTGCCAGTCTTGATTGTGATCATTTGTCAGTCTTACTAGATAGTCCTGAAAGGAAACAGGACTAGATGAGCTAATTCTACTTTAGTGTAAAGCTAACAAAATCTTGCAAGTCTGGAAGTGTAAATTTCCTACCATCTTCTTTACAGCCCAAGAAATCTCTTCTGAGCTTCTTGCCTCTCTCTTATCTGACTGCTCCCTAGGCAGTATCTCTTGGCCCGGTCTCCCAACATCTTTCTCACATACCATTACATCACTAAATGAGAACAATCTGCTTTATTTGACCTGCAAGACCAAAATCTTGCCCTTGGAAGCCTGCTTTAATTTACCAGATTAAAACAATATCTTTTATCTGTGTTTGCAAAATATGCAAGGGGTGATTTTCAAAAAAAAAAATTCTTGAAATGTGTCTATATGATTATAATCTTTGACATTTTTCTTGATTGTTCAGTTGTTAATAATCTTCAAATCAAATCTTCAATTAATATATATGGACTCTACTGGAACCTTAATTTCTGATGTGAACCTAACTTCCACAATACATAGCAGATAGGCACTGTGTCTGAAAGTCAAATCATGGTTCGCTTTTCAGTTTTACTCCTCCTTCCATGTTTCAATAATAGCCATCGTTCTTTGCTTTCATTGTCTTTTTTTTAAATGACAGATGCAATGTTATTTATGTGCATCTCTCACTCATAGTATGCAAAACATTCAGTAACTAAGAACATATTAAACCTAATAAAATGAAATAACAGAATGTTAAGTCTGTAGAATGGATTGCAATGCTTCAGAAGCAGGTTAAAGAGTCATACTTTCACATGTTTAAACATTCCTTCTAAATAAAAAATATAACAAAGGGGCTAAACTAGAACTGTTCTTCCTGGTGTGCTAGGTTTCTATCGGCAGGCATTTTTGTTTTCAGACATCTGTATTTTGTAATTTAATTGACTAAAACTTCATCAATTTTGGGCCAAGTTCTGGAGTTGTGGAGTAGGTGGAAGCACAAAGCAGAATTTGCTGCTAAAGCCAAAACTCATCTCCAAACACAGTGATTGACTATGGCGCTCAAGCTATACTCTCCAACTGTCCTGTAGATAATGAAAGCATACCAACTGTCCTGAAGTAATGAAAGCATACCAATTCTGTGCAAGCCAAAGAGTTATGGCTGTGAAATTTAGGATTGCTGCAGTCCTACTTTAAACAAACAAATGAAAAGCTGTGTGGGTAAACTGTGTGGGTGTGTATACCAATTTTGTTAGAAGTAAGAAGCACCTGGAGAACAAAATGAGGTCCTTCCAAATTGCCCCAAACTCCTCTGAAAAATCATTATTTAAGATTTTTAAAAATTACTGGTAACTTTGCAGCCTAAATATGTTACGAGTTGTGGAGTTAGGAAAGGTGCAAGAGGTAAAATTTGAACCAGTCATAAAATTATTTGTTTATTTAAATTTATTCACTGTCCAACTCCAGTGGACTCCAGATATTTCAGATAATGACTAAACCACCTTTCACTTCCATTTCTCTCCCCCCCCAAAAAATAATAATAATAGAAAAATGAATGAGCGTTAAAGGCAAAGATTTCTCTTTTAGTCGTGTCAGATTAAAGGGCACAGTGCTCATCTCTGTTTCTTGATCGAGGGAGCCAGTGTTGTCCAAAAACATTTTCTGTTTCTGTTTCTGGCCAACATGGCTATATGCCAAAGGCTCCTGGAAGACTATTACCTTCCCATCAAAGTGGTACCTATTTATCTACTTGCATTTGCATGCTTTTGAACTGCTAGATGAGCAGGAGCTGGAACAAGTAATCCCCATTGTGCAGAGCTCAGGTCTCCAACCTGGGCTGTCAGTTCTCCAGCTGATAAGCTCAGCATCTTCAACCACTGAGCCATCGCTCAGGTTAAGTAGAGTTTTCTATTGTGTTATTTGCGTGATGACATCATGATATTCATAATATCACTTATGCCACTTGCCCTAAACAGTCAGTCATGTGGAGTGAGGAGTTTTTGGATGTAATGTATCCGATTGGATGCAGCTTAAAATGCTAAGCAGAATTACATATGACCACACTCTTTTTAAAATACTTAAAATAAAACAATTAGAGCAGAAGATCTGATAAATCTTTTTTTTTGTGGCTGTTCCAGCATCTGCCTGTTTTCACAGTGTACATATGTATATTTGATGGCGTAAAGATGCACCTAAAATGTGCTTCTAGTTGCAAACTTCTCTCTGATCAGAAACTGTGATAAGGCAGAATTGCTGATTGTGGGGAAGTTTATAAATAAATTCAGCTAAACGTAAAATAGTTTTTGGAGCTGCTTATGGATAACAGGGGGAAAGCTTGCACCTGTTGCTTTGTAATCATTGTATTTTAATATTTATATATGCTTTTGGAGAACTTATATAGGTTTGTATGTTTGTTTATCTGTATCCTAGCTTTATTATATTTACAAATAATTCAAGGTGGTGGACATATCCATCACATCTTCCTCCTCTTGGGTTCAGCTCTCATTTTTCTCCCAGGCTTGAAGAAAGCTGTCTAACTGCTTATGTATTCTCAAGTATTAAAAACATATTCCCCAAGTCACTTTTCACTTAAAAAAAAAACTTGCCAAAAGTTTCTTTAAAGTTGGAAAACAACCTGCTTGGGACTTTCTCTTTCTGTTTTGTAGAGGCTACATTAGTGACATCATAGCTTCTGCTCAATCAGCAAATGCAAATATAGGTAGTCCTCGACCTATGACCAGATTTGGGACCAGAATTTCCATTGTTAAGCAAGGCACTTGTTAAATGAATTGTGCCCAATTTTGTGATCTTTTTCCCATAGTTATTAAGAGAATTACTGCAGTTGTTAAGTGAATCCTGGGGCTGTTAAGAGAATTCAGTTTCCCCCATTGATTTTGCTTGTTAGACGCCATCTTGGAAGGCCGCAAAGGGCTATTAAACATACCCCAGACAGTGTGACTGTCTTAAATACATGCCGGTTGCCAAGTGCCCAAATTTTGATAATGTGTCTGCAGTTGCTGAGCTGGCCATAAAGGCAAAGGGGTGGTCCCAGATCACCTTTTTCAGTGCCACTGTAACTTTGAATGGTCTAAATGAATGATTATATGTTGAGGACTACATGCACTTACTTGTGCTGCTGCCTTACAAGATCGATCCCTTTTGTAGGAAGGCATCTTTCAAGCCATCCTTTGTAAATACAGGATCATTGTGTTTTCCTGTGTAATTAGCCCTTTAAAAAAAGCTATTACGAATGATTCTCAGTCTATCTGGGAAGACTTCCATGAGATTTTATTGCTTTTATGCATTCCAGAGATTTAGAAAGTTCTCTGTGGGCCAGAACAGAAAATGGAATTTCTTCTTTTCCTGAAAGTTATTGTCTTAATACCAAAATACCAAAACTAGGAGAAAGGATTGCCAGAACTGTTTTTTAGGGCTGTAGGTCCATAGCAGAGCACAGTTTGCCTGTGAAAGGCTTCATTCTTTGTCTCTGGCATATCCACACAGGGATCCTTACTTAAGCCATAGAAAAGTCTTTTTGATCAATATCAACAATAGAGACTAGTAGAATCACTTCATGTAACAGCTGTCAGTATTCCATCTAAGCCAGTGTTTTTCAAACTTGGCAAATTTAAGAGGTGTGGACTTCAACTCCCAGAATTCCCCAGCCAGCATGCTGATCTAAGCACTTTTCATTTGGAAGTGCTTAGATCAATTTACTTACTAAATTATGTATTCTTTGTCATTGGGAAATTATAAATACCCAAGATGAAAAATGATGTTTTTATTAATAAAACAATATATTTGCCAAGATATGATGCTCTATATCAGTGATGGCGAACCTATGGCACGCGTGCCAGAGGTGGCGCTCAGAGCCCTCTCTGTGGGCACACCTGCCGCCGCCAGCTCACTCAGGTCCATTAGGCCACCGCTGGTGCCCGGAGCAGCAGCCCATGCAGCACAAAGGAGGCGAAACAGCTGGCTAGCAAGCTTGAGTAGAGGTGGTAGAGCATGCCCCCATGCACTCGCTGGCCTCTGTGTGTGGTGGCTTATGGTGTCAGGCAGCAGCCATCCCTGCCTTACCTTGCACCGCAGCAATGGCATCCCCGCCCTACCCCCTGCCTCACCCCGCAGGATGAGCCTCCTGCCCACTGCCCCACCCACCAGAGACCCCCTGGATCTCCCCCAATCCTACCCAGCCCCCACAGGCATCCCCCCACGAGCAACATCAAGGTGGCCATGCCCACCCCGGCCACGCCCATTCAGTCTGCCGTGACCATCGCAGCCACACCCACCCAATGGGCCATGCCCCCCATCCCTCCGAGGGCACCACAATGCTGATGCGGCCCTGGCACTTTGCAATAAATAAGTGGGTTTTGGGTTGCAGTTTGGGTACTCGGTCTCTAAAAGGTTCGCCGTCACTGCTCTATATCATTACACGGCCATTTTGAAAGTCTATTAAATATATTTTATTGCACCTAAAATTGATTCAGTATATTGTTTCTACAAGTTTGCTAATGCAAATTTGTTTTTATTATGCTGTTCGTTATCAGCCCGCCCCCTTCTGCCCAATACACACAATTTTCAGTATTTGATTCAGTTTTGTCCATGGGAATGCGTATATCTGTGTATTGGAAAAATAAAAACTGCCAAGTATTTCTCTAGGAATATGTTCATTAGGCATTTTGAATTGGCAGTAGTTCCACTGTAAAAAAAAAAAGTGGCATATTTGTGTGACATCTACTTGTGCTCTATAGGTGGTGGTGGTGGTGGTGGTGGTTAGTTGGGAAGTATGTATTTTATATACTAAGGGATGTCCAATATGGAAAATGTAATGTGAGAATCAGCTCTCAGCCATTTCTAGGAATCAAAGAAGTTCATTCATATAGCAGTAAACACGTAATAGATATTAATAGCATGCTCGTTTGAGAAGAGCATGAAGTTTCTTTTCAACAAAGACCCACATAATCAGAGTTGAGTTGTGCGCCCACACACAAAGTTTCAAGACATGCATGCTTCCTTGAACCTTTTGTATATGCTGAGTAAAACATGGAGCTCTATTAAGAAAACATCCTGCAGCTATCTATGCATTCTTTAACCCTTCCCCACTTTAATTTTAGAGAAGGGGCCTCAGGGGAAATAGCAGGGAAAACAGAGGGAGAGAAAGGAAGCAGGCAGAGAAAGATAGGAGAGCAGATACAACAAGTAAAGAAGCCAAAAGGGCTGGAAAAAGGATCATAAGGTACAGTGGTGGGAAGCCATTGCCTGAGGAAGGAGCACTGAGCATTGCCTGCCAATCCAAAAAGGTTGCACATCCTTAAAGCCAAACTGGTTGAGCCCAGAACTGAATGGGAAACATTCTCAGCCAAAGTCAAGATAGGTTCTGTAGCTGTTGGTATTAAGAATAAATATAGGTAAAAGAGATGTAGAGATGATAGGGCAAGCAAGCCAAAAAGGCAGTTTGGATGGTGAAAGGTAATTTGTTATTGGCTATTTCTCGGGCAATGAAAAAAGATGCCAGCTTTTATAGCAAGGCTGTATAATCTGTCTTTCTGTGATTTCCCTGCCTAGCTCCTTATTACAGCCACAGGAAGAACAGTTCCTTTTGCCACAATAGTGGAGAGGTGGGAGTGGGTGAGTAGGGATTGGAAGAGCACAGCTAGGAGAGGACATTGTTATTTCGTATTGATGGGAAAAGTCAAGGTTATACAAAGGGGGTGGGGTAATTAGCAGGGATGATCATGCCTGCTGCTTTCTTCTCCTTGCCTAGAGACAAAGGGCCTTTTATGGACGTACATGTTGGTTATGCTTTCCTCTGCTCTTTATCAGTATTTCAGGAAGCTTTGGGGGGGGGAACGTATTTCAGAAAGATTTGGAGCAAGCAAGCCAGGCTTTGCCACTGCCTCCTGTCACTCAGTCAGGAAGCAGGACTTGAACAGTCTTATAGACTCTATTCTGAAGGAAGATGGGTCATGGAGTTCTAAGCCTCTACCTTCTGCCTGCTGTCAACAAAGCAAAGGGGATTTTGCATCCTGACAGTCTTCTAAGGCACTGCAGAATAGCAAGTTTAGCTACTTGTCCTTCTTAAGAGAACCGATGTTATGTTGAGCTTTAAGTGATTTTGTTCTCATTTTGTAAAAAACAAACCACAAAGAACCAGAACTGATTTATAAAATGGTGCCTAAAGTTCAGTTTTAAAGAAATATAGTGGGAATGAACACTTTATATAAACTTTATGTTCAAAGGACAAATGTATCTAACTAACAGATATTGGTAAGTAGTCACAAAGGAGTAGTTATTGCTATCTTGCTCTGTTTCTCTATGGAGTGTGAGTGATGGGCAAGAATACTTTCTTGTCTACTTCAATAGTCTTAACCTCTTGCAGCTGCTGTTTCATCTTTCTAGCTTTGACCTCTTGGCTGCTTTCTCCTACAGGGTACATCCCTAGCTATTTGGACAAAGATGAGCAGTGTGTTGTATGTGGAGACAAAGCCACAGGATACCACTACCGCTGTATTACCTGTGAAGGCTGCAAGGTAAAAAATACTTGAAAAGGTGTGTCTCAACCAAGGGCCTTCCACATCTGCACCTGATCACAGCAGCAATACAGCCCAGCAACCTTTTCCCCCATATCCTTCTGACATTGCTTTCACCTGAATCTCAAGTCATTCCCAAGGCAGTTTAAAGTCATCCTCAGTATACAGTAATACTTTGCTCTTTAAGCAGTCAATAGGTTGTGATAGTTTTACCAATCTGAAAGTGACCATTCAATTGGTGCGACAGTCAAGTGACCTTCTAGGGTTAGGAACTTTTGGCCACTTGGGCTGTTATAGGCATGCCTCTTACTCTCCAGCCCTTTGGTGCAGTCATCCAAGGTCAGTCTGCTCCAGGCAGCATGAGTGTCCTTGTTCTTTCAAACCAGATTGTTCCCAATTTCAGGCTCAGAGTCTTGGATCAGCCTGAGGGGAACTATATGGTGAAGCAGAACAGGTTTCTCTTTGCTGTTTCATGATGCAATTCATCCATGTCTGTCAGTTGTTTGGGTTAGCACAATAACAGAATTGGAAGGAACATTGGAAGTCTTCTAGTATAACCCCCTGCTCAACAGGAGACCCTATAACATTTCAGACAAATAGTTGTCCAGTCTCTTCTTAAAAGCCTCCAGTGATGGAGCACCCACAACTTCTGAAGGCAAGCCATTCCACTCGTTTATTGTTCTAACTATAAGGAAATTTCTCCTCAGTTCTAGGTTGCTTCTCTCCTTGATTAGTTTCCATCCATTGCTTCTTGTCTTGCCTTCTGGTGCTTTGGAAAATAGGTTGACCCCTTCTTCTTTGTGGCGGCCCTTGAGATATTGGAACAATGCTATCATGTCACCCCTCGTCCTTTTGCATACAAGTTTTACAGGGTTGCATACAGGTTTAGCATTCTTCTAAAATATTGCTAGACTTGTGTTCAAATGGAGCTAAATTCTTAGTTGATAATCATGCTGACTTAGAATTCACTTCCACAAAACTCAAGCAGTTCACTCTTTTATCAAAACTTATTTCTTACCTGACCAACTTTATCTATATTGAGAGTGATTAATAGATGTTTTCCTACTAGCTGGTGACATTAGGTAGGAGAGGAGGGAAACAAAGCCTGGGATATCAATTCATCCTTGTTCTGAATATGTCTGCAGACTGTAAATAAGATCAGTGCCATTTGCTAATAGCATGTCTGTGGCAGGATAGGTTGCCAATAGTAAATTTTATGCCAATATAATTTCTGCTAGCTCAAGAAATGGTATATGACACTTCAACGTGGCTGTGAAAAATTCCTATACCCTCAGTACTGGTAGTCCTCAACATACAAACATTGAATGACCATTAGAAGTTACAATAGCACTGAAAAAAGTGACTTATGACTGGTCCTCACACTTATGACTGTTGCAACATCCTCATGGTCACATGATCAAAATTTGGGCACTTAGCAACTGCCATGTATTTATGATGGTTGCAACTTCCCTGGGTCATGTGATCCTTTGTGACCTTCCAGGAAGCTTTCAACAAGCAGTTAATGGGGAAAGTTGGATTTTGCTTAACAACTGAATGATTCATTTAACATCTGAAGTGATTCACTTAGCATTGGTGAAAATATGTCATAACATCAGATGTAACCCAACAATTGCCTTGTTTAGCAATGGAAATTTTGGTCCCAATTTTGGTTCATAGGTGAAGATCTCTTTGCAGTTTGAATTAACTCATTCCAGAAAAATTAATTATGTGCATGGTTCTGCTGCATAATGGTAAATCATCCCAAACATTTTATATGGCATCACACTGTTTCTTCTGCAGAAAGTAATGTGAATTATTTGGTCACTTGGTGATAGGAACTAGAGATGGCAAGCAGGCATAACATATATGGAGCAATTGAAGAGAATTCATAAAAACTTTTTGAGCTAGCATTCAGGGGGGGGGGAAAAGATTAGACTAGAAAAATGGAAAAGGAGAAGGAGATTGGGTCTTTAAAAGCTACAAAAACATCTGGAATGGGTGAAGCCTGGGAAAAAAAAGTTAATTCCATTGTATTTTCATGACCTCCAATTACAGAGTACTAATTAGTATCCATGATACCTGATCTTTGCCCTATCTGCCAGTCTTTCTCAATACCATTATCTGTACCCCAAATCTGCAAATATGATTAGTTATTTATCATATTTGTAGGATATATGCAGGGCTATCTGTATTAAGGCACAGAGATGCTGATTTGCTGAAAGTTCCCTAAAGAGTTTTGCAACTAAGAAGGGTTTGTTTTTGAATCTGTTTCTTCCCAGTCTAAATTCACTACTCTGGCTACGTATGTATGATTACGTACGTATGTACGTAATGTATGATTACATATGTATGATACGTATGTATGATTACATATGTATGATACATATGTATGATACATATGTATGATACGTATGTATGATTAGCATTATTTGAGTTATGCAGGGCACCAAAAAATTAAAATATTATGTCTGGGAGAATTTTACAATCAATATTTAATGCCCAAAATGAAAGGAAGAAGAAATTATGTGTTTGACTAATCAATGATAATAGGAAACAGTAAAGAAATTGGAAAGATGTGGCTGATGAAAGATTGTACAAGACTGTTAGATGGATAAGGGGGTTTCTGCAGACAAAATAACGTTGTTGTTGTTTTTTTCAAAGAAAGGGAATGTCTTTGCTATAGGCTGCATTAGGGTCAACATTAGACCCTGCAGCAGAAAATACAAGGGGCATTCTACAGCCATGCATGTTGTGGAGCAGACATGTCAAACTCGCAACGTCACGTGACGTCGCAGACGTATCGGAGCTTTTTCCCCATTGCCAGCAATGGGGTGGGTGCAGTTTTCTCGTGACACGGCCAGCCAGCGGGCTGGCAGTTTGACACCCCTGTTGTAGAGGAATCAAATCCACAGAATTTTTCCTATAATTAACTAATGTCGAACCCTGTGGGCCTGACATTCATGGGCAGGTAGGGACCCACCTGCCAAACCACCGCCTCCCCGTCGCCCTCCTCACCAACCGGAACCATCGCCAGACCTCCCAGCTGACGTGCGCAGGTCCGGGAAGTCACCAGCTGACAGGTGCAGGAGTTTGGTGCCGTGGCAGCCTCCCAGCCGCCTGCTTCCTCAACTGGAGCCGTTGCCAAGGATTGCGGGCTTGCCGGCAGCAGCGCCAGCTGATGGGCGCAGGAGTTCGGCACCGCGGCGGCCTCCTGGCCGCCCACTTCCTCAGCTGGAGCCGTTGCCGAGGCTTGGCGTGGGACACGGAGCGGCGTGGTGCTGCAGGAGGCGGCAGAACAGGGGGAGGGGTTACCTGCTTCCTGGAAAGCTGGATTCTGGAGGCCTGCCTGTGCGCCAGCTGGAACATGGAAATGAGGCAATGTCCCGGTTGGCTGCTTTTGAACTCTGCAGGCTGGATGGTGGCTTGTGGGATGGGGGGTGGGGCTTGTGTGCGAAGACGTCCTCAGTGCCCAGGAAAGAGCCAGCAGGCAGGTACGGTTGACAAACGGTTGTTTAATCCGTGCAGGAAAAAGTTAGCGCTGGGAATGAACTGCTCCCAGCGCTTTACATAGCCTCTTCACGCACAATCCCCACCCCCACCCCACAAGCCACCATCTGGCCTGCAGAGTTCAAAAGCAGCCAACCGGGACGTTGCCTCCTTTTCATGTTCCGGCTGGTGCACAGACAGGCCTTCAGAGTCCGGCTTTCCAGGAAGCAAGTAACCCCTCCCCCTGTTCTGCCGCCTCCCACAGCATCGCGCAGCTCCGTCATGGTCAGCAGGGGAGGCCCCTCAAGCCATCGCGGGGAGTCCTCTTGTCGAGCCAGTGAGGTGCTGGACCACGGGTGTTATCCCCAAGGTCCGCGGACATGCTCCTGCCGCAGGGTCTCTCCTCGATGAGTCGCCCAGGTGCTGGACTGCAGGCACCGGCCCCAACATCCACGGATGTGCTGCCTGCCACCAGGAAATTCTCCCCCCCCCAGTATGTACTTGAGCTGGAACTGGAACCGCCGGAAATACTGTGCCCATCGGACGTGTTTAGGGGACAGACGTCTCAGTGTCTGCAGTACTTCCAGGTTCTTATGATCGGTCCAGACCTCAAACGGTTCCTTCGCCTCCTCCAGGAGGTGCCGCCACGTTGAAAGTGCCCACCGCACCGCAAATGCCTCCTTCTCCCAGATGGCCCTTGCCAGTTCGGTCTCCCCAATGTCCGCGGACGTGCTCCCACCATGGGGCCTCTCCTTGCCGAGGCACCGGACTGCAGGCACCGGCCTCAACGTCCACGGACGCGCTGCCTGCTGCCTGCAAGCCTCGGCAACGGCTCCAGCCCAGGAAGTAAGCAGCCCGGAGGCTGCTGCGGCGCCAAACTCCTGCGCCCGTCAGCTGGCGACCCCCCGGACTTGTGCCCGTCAGCTGGGAGGTCTGGCAGTGGTTCCGGCTGGTGAGGGTGACGGGGAGGTGGCGGTTCGGCAGGTGGGTCCCTGCCTGCCCATGAATGTCGGGCCCACGGGGCTCAACAACTAGTTTGTGGTAATAGGGAGTCATGCCTGAACAGGAGACTATTCTTTGTCCAGGAGGCTATTGGGGGGTTTGTGCCTTTCATTTGGGGGCTGCAATGTGTCATCTGTGGTGAACTTAGTAACAATATGACTTGGAATTCAGCTCTTTAGATTCTTGGGCACATGTGGATTTTCTAGGCGTTTTTTATTGACTTGTTTTTATTAATGTTATTACTTTGACATTGTACAGTTAAGGTATATGAAACGTGTGCTTGTTTGCATGTCTTTAAATTCCACAGAGGTATTTCTTTTAATGTAAAGTGCAGCGGATATTATAATAAGAGGAATTAAATCTTCATTCTTGGCCTCATTCAATTATTTTCCCCCAAGTCAACTCACTATTGGATCTGGATTACGGGTGTTCAGTTCAAACACAGTTCAGAACACAGTGGCAGAAAAAAGAGGTTTTCAATTTGATAAATAATTACTTTGTATACAGAGAGGCAAGATAATATTAAGCACACATACAAGAATTTGGTTGCATGCCTGAAACGCAGACATTTTCTAGTGTGGACTTTAAGAATTTTTTACAATTTCTTGTAGTACTTCAGATTGGTGCAAAGTTGTGTTTACTTTTCCTTGAATGGGAATGGGGAAAAGATGAGTGGCCATTAAAAGCCTCTGGATGGAGATTGAGTAAAGTGCTACCATAAAAGCTGGTTTCAGTCCCAAGTTTAATATGGAAATGTAAAGTTTGTAACAAACATAAATATATCTTGGAATACACCCAGAGTATATTTCCCTCTTTGTTATTAGTCCATTCTTCCTCCTGCCCCCCCCCTTTTATTTGTTTCAAGAGCCATCCTAACAGTTGATGCAAGCTACCCTTTTTCTTTTCTCTCTTTGTTTATACATTATGAAAATCGTATGAGAGCTGTTTCGCGTGGTTTGACAAGATGTTACTCTTGGTAGTTAGAACCCTCTAGATAGGACTGATCTTACCATTTTGCAGCAACCTCTTTGAGGAATGAGTTAAGTTAGTAAATTTATAGCCTGCCCTTCTTATATACATGACTCTGACCAGCTCATAAGTAAACAATTAAAATTGCTTGCACAGAAAGGCAAAAAAGGTAGTGCCCTTATACCCAGCTGTATAATGCTGTTTCACAAATAGGTTGTACCTGACATATGGCTAAAAAGCATTACCTTTGCTTTCTTTTTATTTACTTTAAAAAACAACAACTAAAAGGTAAAAGAAACACAGACTTAAATAGAAAACAAACAAACTATAAGCAGACACAGCGCTTTGGGCAGAAAATTCAAGTGGCATCATAAATCACTCAATTGTGGCAAAATGCCAGCCAGCTCTGGATTGAACTATGAAATTAGTCCTGGGCTGAAAAAGTTTAAAAGCTAATAGTAGGCTTAAGAAAAATTTAAGGGGGAGAAGAAGAACCAGTTCCCAGATGTGATCCTTTGGAAAGTTTATCTCAGAAGGCTCAATGAAATAAATGAAAACTCTAGAGGATTCAGTAGAAAGACTATAGTTTCCTGGTAAACTGTCCTGTATTCATTCCTAAGAAACCACGGTACCAGAATATCTCAAGGTGACTATATCTTGGGTTAGAACCATAGAAATACTTACAATTTGAAACCCACAAATTCACACTGATAGCAACCTACTGTTCCAAATACTAAAATGATATCTTTTTACCTCAGTCATCTCTATGATTACATGTCTGTCAGTATATCAGTAAAGGTCTGTTTAGTTAGGAAGGTCAGTAGCACTATGGACAACAGGACTGTATCCTCTTTGATGGAGTATAGAAGTTCAAGGGTTAGGGAGAGTGGAATAGGGTTAGAGAATCAAAGAATACATGCTCTGCTTTCTAAGGACTACCTGGGTCTCACTGTGTTCTCTGTTCTACAGGGCTTTTTTCGACGGACCATTCAGAAAAACCTGCATCCAACATACTCCTGCAAATATGATGGTTCCTGTGTCATCGATAAGATCACCCGCAACCAGTGTCAACTTTGTCGATTCAAGAAGTGCATTGCTGTTGGCATGGCCATGGACTGTAAGGGCATTGCGCCCACTGTGGAGAACTGGGGAGGGGGGGGAATTGGGGAGATGGGGATGGGAGTGGTTACAGGGAGCAGAGGAGAAGAAATGTGCCCCCAAAATGGACGCATGTTGAAGGATCAAAAGAGGGAAATAATTTGGTGTGTAAAATTGCATAGGGACCATCTTTGAATCCCTACATTTTGAGTCCTTGGAATAGTGTGAGAGCTGTCCTAGTATTCCCTAAGGTTTTAATTAAGCCATCCTATCATTCTTAATTCCCTTTGGCACCTTGGAATTGGCCAAATTGGTTGCAGAATTCTGATTGGCTCTATGTGAAGTCCCCCCTCCTCTCATACCTCTTCGTTCTTCACCACCCTCCTAGTGGTGCTGGATGACTCCAAGAGAGTAGCCAAACGGAAGCTGATTGAAGAGAACCGGGAGAGACGGCGCAAAGAGGAAATGTTGAAATCCCTTCAGCACCGGCCGGAGCCAACCCCAGAAGAATGGGAGCTGATACGAATTGCTACGGATGCACACTGCAGCACCAATGCCCAAGGCAGCCATTGGAAACAGAAGCGGAAATTCCTGGTAAATTGTATTGGCAAATAGGGTACACAATTCTGTTTATCAGAATTGATGTACACAATGCTTAATTTTATGTATTTTTGTTCTTTATTTTGGATTACATGTAGTTCTTCCTTAACAATAATCCATTTAGCGACTGTTTGAAATTACAGCCACACTGGAAAAGTGACTTATGACTGTCTCATGATCCCTGCGGTCACATAAATACAATTTGTGCATTTATAACAGTTGCAGCATCCTGCAAGTCACAATTGCCATTTGTGACTTTTCCAGCCAGCTTTTGACAGGCAAATGGGGAAACCAGCAAGCGGTTGCAAGTGGCAATTGCGTGATGTCTCATTGAACAATCACAGGTGATTCACTTAACAACCACAACTGGGACTGCTAGAACAACCAGTACTAAGCAGTGCAGTCACATGATGTTTCACTTAACGACCACTTTACTTAGCCACAGTTTTCAGTCCCAATTAAAGTCATTAAGCAAGGATTGCGTATAATATTTTCTGCCCCTATTTTTGTTTTGAAAGTCCATATATTTCTGTAGTCCCTTTACCCCAGGCTTTCCCCAGAATTTCATAGATTAAAAATAACTCCAGCAGAATAAGTGAATATATGCATAATTTACTGGGCATCAAGTGCTGCTGTTGGGCCTAGTGTGTTTCTCATTCTTGACTACTTGAAGATGTGTGGATTTCAATTCACAGAATGCTGGTTGGGTAAGTCTGGGAGCTGAAGTCTATACATCTTCCAAGTTGCCAAAATTGAGAAACACTGTACTAAGCATTGCTGAGAACCAAGCATTGGAAGTGTATTTGTATTTTCTTCCTGAACCATTGGATAAAGAAGCAAATACATAGTTAGAGTTTGTGTAATTAGAATTATGCATCTGGACAAAGTATACTCACATTCCTCGTAACTAATTAAGATACTTGGTAAGTACACATTTCAGCTATATGGTAGCTACTTTGCAGCTCTCCCATTTATGAATAAAAGTTACAAAGTGGAGCTTTGTACCAGTAAAAATTACCATTTTGCACCCCAAAAAAAATCTTAAGTTCTGTGCTAAAATCACATTAATTAGAATACGCACGTACCCTTTAATAAAATGATGTAAATATATTCCAAATTGTGAAAGTGTTTTAAAAACTGAGACATTTGGCATGGTATCACCCTTAAACTATTTCTCATTCCATTTATTTTATTTATTTATTTTTTATAAAAATTTTATTGATTTTTCAATTGAAAACAATAACATAAATATGATGCCTTTAATCACAGTATCAACCAAGAAAATAACACTACTCAATACATTCACGGAAGTGTCTGGTGTCCCCCCCCCTGCACCCCCCTCTTTCACTTACCACACCTTCCTCCCCCCAGACCTACAACCTCTCCTCCTTCCTCCCTCTCTCCTACCTCCCTTCCTCTCTCAACCATCCCGTCTGGTGCAGTTGGGGTACCCACCGAACACCTCCTTAAAAAGTCACATATAAATCTACAATACATCAATTTATATACCTATCTATTCCCTTTCCCCCCTCCCCCCCCCAGGACTTCCCAGAGCTGATCCAGGAAATAAACACACAATAATCCAATTCTATCCAAGGCTACTCATTATTACTACACACTAGTATAAACTTACTGTGACTCTAAAATAACATTAAAATACATACAAATTTTATAAAT